GTGAGATGCTGCTCTCACCTGCCCTACCCACCCGAGCCCATCCTAACCTTAGCTTTTCCTTGGTACCGTTGTGCCATGGCACCTTCTCAGTGATGGAACCCCTAGAGTTGGAGGCATGTTGCCCTTCTCTGTAGCTGCTGCTGGTCTCAATAGTCCTCAAATCCTCCTCCTAAGCTAGGAAGTCTTTCAATCTATTATGTCTCAGAAACAAGGGATGGCTCAATACCATGGAGAGATCCACCCACCCGAATGGTGAGACAGGACACTCATTTAAGATGCAGACACCGAGGCACAGAAACCAAAACAAATTCAGACTTCGGTGCTGGGAAGTTGAGGGACTGAGGGCACAAATCTGGGATGGCTTCCTGTAAGAGGGTTAGAAGGAAGAGAGGCATGTGACCTGAACAACGGAGAAGAGAGTATGAGAAAATCTCCACAGGAAAGTGGGTAACAGTCTCTGTGCTTTTGGGAATCATTTTGATTACTTATAATTAGAGAGGTAGTTTGGAGGTGGGAGCGGTTGAACTATGGCTGGGTGCCAGGATACATTTACTTTGCTGCCTTTAAGCCGATACTGACCCTCTCTCCACTGCTCCACTCCTCTCTCCACTCTGCACAGGTTTCAGTGACTCTGACCAAACCCAGCTCAGAACTGGACTCTGTCCTTCACTTACTCAGCTCCTGCCTCAGCTCCACCCCAGGATACCCCAAAGAAACAAAACCAAGTTCAAGCTGAAATAAATCTTTGTGCCCGTTGTCAAAACATATTCACGTGTCTACTGAGCACTACCGGTTCATTTGTCTTCGTGTGTGCGCCACCCAGTGAAAAGCAGATGTGGCTCTTACCCATCTGTTAATTCATCTGTTGTTTCCACGAACACTTACTGGAAACTTAACACAGGCAGAGACTGCACTGAACGCTGGGTATACAGCAATCATGGAAACAGACACAATCCTCGTCCCCAAGGGGTTTACAGTCCAGTGGTGGGGACAGACTTTAATCTTTAAACACACAAACACATTAATAACTACAAAACATGCAGAGTTATGTGAAGAAACACTAGGGAGCTGTGAGAGGACAGAGAAGCCTCATCTAGATGGAGTGGGCAGTCAGGAGGGCCTCTCTAAGAAAATGACGTTTAAGCTGAGTGAGATTTGAAGGATAAAATGGTCAAAGGGTGATGGGAGCCTTCATAAATATTAGCCAGTGCTATGGTTGCACAGCAAAATGGGCAACGGTGAGAACGGCACAAGTAGAGACGGGGCAGGTGGGCAGAGGCAGGGCCTCAAAGGCCATGTTAAAGCTTTGAGAGTTTATCCTCAGTGCAAGGACAAGTACTTGAAGGATTTTAAGCAGGGGCAGGTCAGAGAAGATCTATTTGCATCCTCGAACAATCACACTGATGATGGTGAGAATGATATTGAGATGAAGAGGGATGAATGTGGAAGAGGCTCTTAAGGGATTCCAGATTTCACACTAGGGAGTTGCCAGTGAAGGTGAAGGGAAGTGGGAGAACTCAGTTTGTCCAAAAGTCAATACCTCTTTCTTCCGGTGTTTAAATGTTTATCCACCTCGGCATGCTGCCTTCTCCCAGTGCCCTGCATCCACAGAAGACAAGGCTGTCTCTCTTTCCCGCTTAGTTTAGGTTACCTTTGCCTAATGTCCCCTCCTCTTCCCTTGATCTAGTCATATTTTAGCATACTAGAGTAAAACACACCTAGATTCAAATCACTCTCTAGGTCTGTGACTTGGCAAGTTAGTTCCTCTCTCTCTGAAGCTCAGTTTGCTGTCTGGAAAAGACTAAAAAGTACTCACTTCATAGGGTTGAAGTATTTTAAAATAATGCCTGGCACAAAGTAAGTGGTCAATAAAAGTTAACTTTTGTTATTATTATTCACACACTTAAACCTCAGTTTAAAAACACTGGGGTATTAGTTTAAAATCAGGGAGTGGCAAACTGGATTGGCTGAACGGCTGGGCCAGTAACCTAAAAAAGCAAAGTGGGGAGTGTGTAACGTAAGGGGAAGGATTGGGACTGTGAAAATGGAAAAGAAATGTGCCCCTAAAGGTATTCTGATGACCAAACAAAACTCTTTGGAGAACTGAATTTGCCTGAGGGCTGCCAGTTTGCAATCTCTTCCAGTTCTTAACATTTTGGGCTTCCTCTCCTCTAAACTCCTAGAGTTCTAAGGGTGTGTACCACACAATTTAGAGCATGCCTTTGCTCAGAGGTTATATTTTAGTGATTCTCCATGATAGAACTGATTGTATTGGGGAGGAGTTCAGATCTATATTTCTGTAGTCTTGGGTGTCTCTGTGAATCAGCGAATCTGTAAGTGTTATTAAAAAAAATGTACAACTGTCTCACTATGGGCCAGGCATTAGTGCTCAGGACTTTCGAGATGCCATTTTTTTTTCAACTTTTTTTTTTTTTTTGGCTTTTATTCAGATTTAGAAACATCATTTAAAAAAAGTCATGGTGATCTCATTTAAAGCCTCATCACAGTCCTTCGAGGTAATGATAGCATCATAGCTGTCAACCGTGCACTACACTGCCTCCCTGAGGCAGAGAGTTAAAGCCCATGCTCTTAGCCACTCTGCCATAAGGCCAATGACTCACTAGTCACTTAAAGCAACTGAGAGCATCTGTGACGGTCACATTCAGTGGTGCACCGGGGCAGAGTGCTTCTGAGAGCCATTGTGAAATTGTCAGGAATTCCGTGAGCAGGCTGTAAAACCATCCATAGCTTGAAACAATAGCTCCAAAGGCTGTGGTCAGAGTATTTACACTATGGAAATTGGCAAATGATATAAACCAGAGCACCGCCCTCCCAACCTGGAGAGGTGATTGTTAAACATTTACCAGCACATTACTGGTCAGCATACTTTCTCTTAAATTATAGAGGAGAACAAATGTGTCTGAAGAAGGGAATGAACATGTCTGCTTGAGGGTGGCAATGAAGTTTATCAAGGGTCAATGTGTGTACCTCAGGGAGTATGTATGTGTGCATTTGAGGGTCTGAATAGTTAAATCTGAAGTCATGAGTGTGAGTGAGGGATCAGTGTGTATACCTTAAAGAGTCATACAGTGTGAGTCAGAGAGTGAGAAGTGAGGCAGGTGTGTCTAGATGGTGTCAGCGGGCACCTAAGGGACGGAGTTTTTGTGTTAGGGAGTGGTGTAGTAAGAATATGAAAATATGAGGTCAGTATGTGCATACATGAGGCTAATGCATTTTTCATAGACAGGGTGTAATGGAGGAAGTCAATGTGTATGAGAGGGTGCCAAATGTATGTGTTGGGAGGGGACAAATCTGTGTCTGAGAAAGTAAGTTTGTGTTTAAGGGGGCTTATGTTATCTGAGTTTAGTGTCTAAGGGTATGTATCGGAGTGAATCTGAAGGTAGGACTATGATAGCCTAAATAATTGTTTCAGCCTTGGTCGTTCTTTCAAAATACAGAAAAACACAAATAACAGTGCTAAATATTTTTAGCAAGATAGAGCATTATTTCTCTTTCTCGTAAACACCCAGAGGCAGGCAGCCCGGAGCTGGTGTGACAGCTTTTGCTCCGTCAAATCCTCAGCGACCCAGACTCATTGGCTCATGGCTCCACCATCCCTCAAGGCCCAAAATGGCAACTAAATATCCTGCCACCGATCTCTCTGCTCCCATCCTCTTTTTTTTTTTTTTCAGGTTGCATGGTGCAGCATGCAGGATCTTAGTTCACCCACCAGGGATCGAACTCCTTCTCTCACCCCCACCCCCGTGCCCCCTGCCACATTGGGAGCATGGGGTCTTAACCACTGGACCACGAGGGAAGTCCCTGCTCCCATCCTCTTTTTTTCCTTTTACTTGAAACCTCTCTGGTAACATTATTCACATCCATGGTTTTGCCTTGATCTGTAGCCCAGTTCTTTCTGTAGAACTTCATACCAGTACATCTGAATGACAATTGGCCATCTCTCCCGGGATGTCCCACAGACCTCAATTTCAACATTTTCAAAACCACTCTTATTTCCTCAGCTTCATCCTGTGGTCTCTTCCTACTGCTCTCTCTGAACGGCACCACGCAGTTGCCCAAGCCAGGACACTGAACATCCTGCTAACTTTTCCCACCCACTCTGTCCTCATCAGTTTTACCATCCCTTTTTCTTACTTTGTCCGGAATCTGTCGCATTCTCTCTATCCTTTCTGCCACCATCTTAGTTCTGGCCCTCATCATTTCTACTTTGGACTGCTACAACTGACTTAAAATTAAGTCTAGGTTGCCACTAATTTTCCTATAACAAAATTTTGGTATTATTACTCCCTGACTTAAACCTCCCTTGGCTCCTTTTTTTAAGACTCAATATTGCTATGGAAATCACCTATGGAACTTCCTAAACACACAGATAACTGATTTCACCCCAGACCTGATGAATAACAAACATAGCTGATACTTATTTATGTGCCAGGCATTGCACTAAATGCTTTGTTATATATTTTCTGGCTTAATTCTCACAATGATTTCATGAGTAGGTATTACTCTTTCTGTGGAAAATGGAACACAAAGAGGTTAAGGAATTTGCCTTAAGTTACTGGACCATACGTAGTGGAAGTGAGCTATGGAACCAGGTAAACTAATTCCAGAGTCCAAGTTCTTAACTGTAAGGCCTTCCCCAGTCAGAAGCTCTACGTGTGATTCCAAAAGGCAAGCTCCATTAGCGTAGAACGGATTGTTTTATGTTTAATATGGAACGCTAGGCGCCCAACTCAGCGCGTCGCACGCAACAGACGGCCAGTGAGCAGCGGCGGACCTTCACTTGCAGGCTGGGGTGGCGGTGGGGTCAGTCGCATGAAGTCGAGCGAGTCCGAGGCGTCCACCTGGGTGGGGAGCGCTGGGCCACAAACAGTTTTGCGGATCCTGGCTGGAGCACGAGGCGGGGCCGCCAGGCCCCTGGCGCTGGGGGAGTTCAGCCCCGCGGCCGGAAGTCTGGGCGTAGCTTCCGGCGCGCGGAGATGACGTCCAGTTTGCGCATCCGCGTGGGGGAGCTGGTGGAGGATCCCGGGACGCGGAGACCCGGGGTCCCGGCAGCGGGGCGGCCCGCGGGCCACGGTGGGGATGCACCGCCGCGGAGTAGGAGCCGGCGCCATCGCCAAGAAGAAGCTTGCGGAGGTGAGGGGAAGGAGGCGGGCCCTACAGTCACTCCAGACCCGCGAGAGACAGAAGTCTCTCCGCGCAGAGCTCTGTACCCTCAGATCGCCTCCCAACAGAATCTGACGCGGGTTTCTCGGTCCCGGGGAATTGAGTTTCTCCAGCTTCCGGTGTATTGGAATGTCAGCATCCCTAGATCCATCAGCCCTTTCCCCCACTTCCCCCAATTAGACTACAGTCGAGTCGTCTATTCTACTTCCTCACTCCCTCTCCCTAAGAAAAACCATTTGCGAGACCCTTTTAATACTTCTGCGGAGGCAGTACAAGTGGGAGCCCCCAGCACCCACTCTCTCAACTCATCCTGGTCTATTTGTCTGACAGGCCAAGTATAAGGAGCGAGGGACTGTCTTGGCTGAGGACCAGCTGGCCCAGGTGAGTGGGATGGAGGGCTCCAGACAGCAAGGGAGATTCGACAAGGCTGGGCAGGACACCTTTGATATAAACCAGATTGTTTGGATCGAACTAAAAATAGGGCATTTGGCAAATCCCAGTTTCTGGGCTGCTCAGATCATTTAGGTGACTTGCTGATAACAATGATAGCTAACATCTTTGAGTGATTACCTACTTGTAGCGTCCCAGGCACATGTCCATTTTCTTTACATACACCGTCTTGTTCATTCCTCCTGACAATCCTATCAGGAAGGAACTCTGTTCTTCGCACTTTCAAATTGAGGGCACTGAGGTGTTAAGTGCTTTATCCAAGGTTACATGGGTAGTAAGTGGTAGAGTTGTTTGATTAGGTCTTTTGGGTTTTTACTTTAAATGCCTAAGAATAACCTGAAAATATTGCCTAACCTGTGGCACCCACCACCATCACATCTAGGTGCATACCAGAAGTGTCAGTGATGGGGGTATGGCTCCTGCAGTTTCCTTCTCTAACACTTCCCTTTTCTGTACATGCCCTGTTGTTTACTCAGTTATTTTGCCTGGTGAAGAAGAGAAGGAGGCAGTGAGGCAGGGAAATGGGCCCTTGAACTGAGGAAAATAAATAGACACAGGGTGTGCTGTTCAAAAGCTCCCACTCAGGGGAGATAACATGCAGGAATCAGCTGGAAATGGTGATTATAATAATGTGTAAATTTCTAATATGTTGGAAGTGAGGAGATGCTGGGCCAGGAGTGGTTATTCTTGGTGAGTTGAAGATAGGTTGTTAATTAGGGAAAGAAAAGGAGTAATGCAAATGGGAAGTCAGAATATCCCCAAACCAAAAGTATTTAGCTTTAGAATGTACTCTGGTAGAGCCACATCCCTTCCTCAGAGATTCTTTATCTATGGTTATCCCCGAGGAGGTTCTTGACTCAGAGATTAAAACAACACACCTAATTCATGCCAGGCTTCCTTTCTCTCCTATCTAGCCTTTCTGTCAGTGGCTGAAGATTTCCCACTGTGTGAATGCTGCAGAATTATTAGGTGCATCTTCAATTAATTAATTTCATTAGATTTAAAAAAAATTTTATTTTATTTTTGAGTATATTTGATTTACAATGTTTTGTTCGTTTCCGGTGTGCAGCACAGTGATTCAGTTATACATATACATATGTCTGTTCTTTTGCAGATTCTTTTCCCATATAGGTTATTACAGGATATTGAGTAGAGTTCCCTGTGCTATGCAATAGGTCCTTGTTGATTGCACCTTCAATTTAATAACATTTTTTTCTTCTGGGAAAAAGAAAAGAAGCACTTACAACAAGCGAAATATAATTAATGCTGTTGTATGTTATATAATGAGAGTTGTTAAGAGAGTAAACCCTAAGAGTTCTCAGCACAAGGAAAAAAATTTTTTTTCTATTTCTTTAATTTTGTATTTTGTGATGAAGGAAGTTCTCTAAACTTAACTGTGATTCATCCTGCAGATGTCAAAGCAGTTGGACATGTTCAAGACCAACCTGGAAGAATTTGCCAGCAAGCACAAGCAGGAGATCCGGAAGAATCCTGAGTTCCGGGTGCAGTTCCAGGACATGTGTGCCACCATTGGGGTGGATCCTCTGGCCTGTAAGTTGTCTGTAGGGGTCCAGTGTTCTTCTAGGGTTGCTAAGGGACAAAGCTCACCTAGTTGTTGTCACTACTGTTGGGGCGTCTTCTGTAAGGGCCTACAGGGAGATCCAGAGGATGTTGTCTTCAGGGAGTCCCTAGCAGGATGGCTGAGTATCCAGTTTGATGGGAAAGATGGAGAGGTTGGAGTGCAGGCTGAGTAGCCAGTGTACGTGATCTTCCCTGGAATGCTGTGCTGTGGAATTTTTTATGACTATTTTTCCCTTTGTTAAAAAAGTTTTGATAAAAGTAGCATGTATTCAGGCAGTCAGTCAACAAAGGAGAAAAAAGAAAACGAGAAAGTGGAAGTCTTCTGACCCTGCCCGTAATTGCAGAGATAAAGTACTGTTAACAGTTTAAGGTATATCTTTCTAGACACCTTCATCATATTTATAAACTATTTTTTAAAAATATATGGGATTGGGCTTCCCTGGTGGCGCAGTGGTTGAGAGTCTGCCTGCCAATGCAGGGGACACGGGTTTATGTCCCAGTCCGGGAAGATCCCACATGCCACAGAGCGGCTGGGGCCGTGAGCCATGGCTGCTGAGCCTGCGAGTCTGGAGCCTGTGCTCCGCAACGGGAGAGGCCACAACAGTGAGAGGCCCGTGTACCGCAAAAAAAATATATATATATATATAAATATATATGGGATTATGCTGTAATTATTACTCTGTAACTTGCATTTTTTACTCAATAAAATATCTTCAATGGATTTTTGAATGCCAGGTCTGCATATTCTTTTTCTTAGCCTGTCTAGACCGTATGTCCCATTATATTTCACTGCATGCTTTGGGAAAGAAAACTCACTTTTATAGTATCCTGAGCCAGAGTTAGCAGCCAAATAGATTGCCCACCTTTAGAACTGTCTGAACCTGTTGTTTAGTAGGAATTACCAAGAGACAGATTGTGTTGAGGATCCTGAGTTGTAAGTGGAGCAGAAGGACGTAAGGCTGGGCAGAGAAGACTTCCCATAGAACAGATGTATTTTTTTAAGTATATGGGCTGCCGAAGCAAGCACTAGAATAGATGTTTTAATCTAGCTTTGAAAGAAAAGATGTAACTATTGAATAACCTAGCTTTTGTTTTTCTGTCTTTTAGCTGGAAAAGGATTTTGGTCTGAGATGCTAGGCGTGGGAGACTTCTATTACGAGCTGGGTGTCCAGATTATCGAAGTGTGCCTGGCCCTGAAACACCGGAATGGAGGTGAGGGTGGCTCGGTCCTGGACTGGGCTTTGGGCTTCTCTGAGAGGGAAAAAATGTTGAAAGATGATCTTTCCTATCCTGCAGTCTGCAGGCCAGTAAGGTCTTGAGAAGCTGTTAGGTCCTGAGAAGTATCTTAGTGCTTCACGATGTTGAATCCATGACCAGTCTCCATGGCCAAGGGTAAATCTGAATGATTATCTCTATTCTCCAAAGGTCTTTGGCCAGGAAGGCTTAGCTCCTAGTTGTTACAGAACATATAGGCAGGTAGGAAATAGGCTTTTTTCCCTGATAGATGATGTGTCTGGGTTATGATTTTCTCATTAGTAACTATAGGCCTGCCCTGCTTCTCCAAGGTGTGGTGATGTCAATGGAGTCTCTGTGCTCCCCAGAATGTTAGCTTTAAAACGATCATTCAGTGATATCATTTTAATAAGCACACTGAATGGTCTGTGTTGAAGTTAAGAAATAAAACTTAAACCTAGTTAGAAATCATTGGCTATAGACAGAAATCATTGGCTGTAGACACAGCCTTGGTGTCAAGAGAGCATTTACAGTTTTTCAGAGATGCTGTCTTTTTTTTTTTAAAGTCATAAAGGTAATCCTTCAACTGCTTTCTGTCCCCCTCTCCAATAGGTCTGATAACTCTGGAGGAACTACATCAACAGGTGTTAAAAGGAAGGGGCAAATTCGCCCAGGATGTCAGCCAGTAGGTTTTGCCTTCCAACCCCTTGGAGTATAGAAAGGTCTTTAAAAAAGGTGGAAATCTTTTCTCCTTACCACTCGTTCGTCTAGGCTAGTTTAGGAATCATTGTTATTCCTCTTCATGATCAGAAGAAATGTTTTTATTTTAGAAATCTGAAAATAGAGATATAAAAAAACAAAAAACCCATTATTTCTCAACTGAGATATTACAACTGTTAAAAGTTTTGGTAGATCTCCTTCTAAGCATTTTTTTCATGCATAAAAATAATGTGGGTGTGTGTATACACTTTTTTTTTCTTCTTCTTTTTAAACATACTCGGGGCTGTATACGCTGTTGACATTATTTGTGGTCAAGGAGACTAGAGCTGGCACTGAGAAAGGCTGGGGAAAGGAGCTGGGCTCAGAAGATGGGGTGTAAATTGACCTGGTTCACTAGCCTTTGTGTGACTCCAATTTGAGAAAAGGTAAAAAAGACTCTCAGTATGTGGGCTGGATATGTGGTCTACACATTATCTTGTGGGTTTTCTTTAATTTCAGTTAGTTGTCAACTAAGAAATCAAAATCTGGCACCACTGGGCCTGAATTTCCAAATGGCGGCAATCAGCTGGGTTGCCCCTTTCAAGTCTCTGTTTTGCCATAGTTTACAGTACTCCCTATTGTCGCTTAAGTTCAGCTCACTTATTCACATTTCCTGATGGGCTCCTGGAAGCATATTTTTTACCTCTGTCTGGTATTGGAATGGTTTGCTAAGTGGAGAGCCTGACTCCTATACCATTTCCCTGGAATGTCCAAGCACCATTTGGTGCACTTTGACCCTGCCTTTTTACTGATGTAGTTAAATGTTGTGCAGCCTTTTGAGTCTTCAGCCATGGTATCCTGCCCAGGGCAGAGCTGAAACTGCATTGTTGCTAGTCTGGTCTGCCAAGGGTCTTTAAGCAGCTCTTCCTCACCTCAGAGACGACCTGATCAGGGCCATCAAGAAGCTAAAGGCACTGGGCACTGGCTTCGGCATCATCCCTGTGGGCGGCACTTACCTCATTCAGTCTGTTCCAGCTGAGCTTAATATGGATCACACTGTGGTGCTGCAGCTGGCAGAGGTACTGGTGGGCCGTGTGTGTGTGGGGGGGGGGGGGGGGAGGGGGAGAGAGAGAGAGAGAGGAGAGGAGAGGGAGGGAGGGAGGGAGGGGGAGGGAGGGAGAGTGTGTGTATGTGTGCGTGCGTGCATGTGCATGTAGAGGCAGTCTGGGAGGGGATTTTCTGATCTCCTCCCCTCCATCACTCAGGTCTTTTGCTGAAACTGTCTAACGGATGCACTACTCAGACCTGTGCTTATTTAGCAGACGTTTATTGAGCAGCTATAGTGCAAAGCACTGGGCCAGGCTGTAGGAGCATATAAAGATGGGTACCATATAGTTCCTGCTCTCAAGGAGCTTACAGTCTAGTGTAGACAGACATGCAGACCACTAACTGAATTTCCTTGGTGGACAGATTTTTTGATGTCTTCGTAAAACTACTTTATGGATTCTTTGAAAAAATGTTTAATCTTGTTTGCCATCCTCCTGTTCCTCAGCAATGCCTTAAGCTATATCATCTTCCTCGAAATCCTTATCATGTTTTTAGGGAAGACATGTTCAGTTTTCTCAATTCTGTAATGTAGAATAGAACTAAATGAGGGAGGGGACTTTTCTGGATTGGGGAATGGTTAGGGTGAGGCAGGACAGGGGCTGAATACTTAAATATTTTAGATTATGAACAGTTTATGATGATCACCATTTCTTCCTATCAGTTAATCATTCTGAATCTTTCCTTGTCACTTTAGAGTTCTCTGGTAAAGTCTACATTGATATTTTAGTACCAGGGACTCGACTCTACTTTTTAGGACTGAACCCCTCAACCTACCTCTGTCATCCTGAAAGTCACTTCTCTCTTGCTCTCTACTGGGACCTCTAAACATTCTTCTGTGCTCTCTTAGGCTTCACCCAAGGGCAGTTCCCCCTCCTGCCTGGGTAAATTAATTGTCCCTGGGCAGATGCTGGATTCTAAGGGAAAGCACGCTCTTAACTGACGCAGCCTCCATTCCTCCTTCCTTCAGAAAAGTGGCTATGTGACTGTCAGTGACATCAAAGCCAGTCTTAAATGGGAGACGGAGCGAGCGCGGCAAGTGCTGGTATGTGACTTTTGGAATGGCCCAGAAAAGATGGGCCCCAGATGGGAGGAGGAGGGTAGACAGGTACCCCACAGGCAAGAGCTGTGGCCTCTCTCTCTCTGCTGACTTCTTGCCTGGAAGGCTGCTGCTGCCACACCAGAAGTAACCCCAGCATTTCTCTGAAGATGGCACTGAGAGGTAGAACTCACAAAGGCAGGCTTCCAGCCCTGGCACATGGGTACAGCCAGGCTGCCACTGCCACTGGGGAGTCACCAATGCCTCTCTCTGCTGACCTGTAAAGCCTGGTCAGATGGTTAATGTGGCTTGTACTGGAAGTAACACTGTTAGTACAGAGTGAAGGGAATTATTAACTACTGATAACTACATTGCTATAATTATATACTATTATAGTGCATGTTACATATAGTTTTATATATACACATTTCATGGTGCTAATGAAAGACTGATGTTGTGAAGAGGGAGTGGCATGAACACGTAGGAACCCTGGCTTTCAATACCTTTCTCCTTACCCAGGCAGTTGAACTATAGACTTAACTTCATCTGTGAAGTGGGGATAACAAACATTTAATGATATTGGGTAGAACCAACCCATCTGGAGCATACTTCCAGCTATAGGAACTATGAGTCCATTCTAATACTAATACAGTTTTTCCATTAACTTTTCCAAAAAGGTTTCCCCCTAGCTGTCTGTTACTCCATAAGTTAACTGAAAGGTACTGATCTCCATTTCGTTTTAGGGAATGCAGTTAGTGATTTGCTCAAAGCCATACAGCAAATATTTCTGTAGCCCTTCCTTCCACAACGTCCCACTTTGTCGTTATCCTCTTTCCCAGCAGCACAGAGTAAGCAACTTGGTGGCATTTCTCACACCTCAGGCAGAGCCCTCGGCTGACGAATCACTGCTTTGGCTGCGTAAATACGTGAGGGCACGCTTGTAGATGTAGTTGGAAAACCCCACTGAAGCCAAGATAGGGTTGAGGATTATCTGCCCTACATTATGTAAACTCCCCTTTCTCAGTTGATTTTTCCTTTTTCTGCCAGGAACACCTGCTGAAGGAAGGGCTGGCTTGGCTGGACCTGCAGGCCCCAGGGGAGGCCCACTACTGGCTGCCAGCTCTCTTCACTGACCTCTACTCCCAGGAGATTACAGCTGAGGAGGCCAGAGAAGCCCTCCCCTGACTGGGAATGCGGAAGGGGGCACAGCAGCAGGCAGGGAGAAGAGGGAGGAGCTGGTGGTGAATAAAACCTCGACAACTTTGTTTTAAAAAAGAACCAAAAAACCAAAAAAATTCCAATTTTTTTCTTCCCCCAGTATTCTTCAGCCATTACTTTCTTTTTTTTAAAGTGCCTTCACATTGCATCTTTATTGGAGAAAACCTTTTTTATCCGCTAAGGATAACCTGAGTAACATAGATAACAGTGAACATGTATAAAATGACTTGCACAGGTCATCTACAAGTTCATGGTAGAGCTGGGCCTAGAATGAAGGCCTTCTGTCTCCTGGCTAGACAGTCTAGTTTCTGTGGCCCTGAGACATAAATTATAGCCTCTGTTAATTCAAACCCCTTCCTCATAAAATGTTCCTTATCTCAAATGAGCAGACCCTAACGGACCAGTAAATAGTCACCCTTTCAGTCTCTTCCAGCTTCCTTTGTAGAGGTTCCAGGTTATGGCAGCAGACTTAGCTACGAGTATGAAGGAAACAGGTCAATGTTAAATGGTGGTTACAGAAAAGAAAACTTAATTTGAGGGGAATTACCAATAGTGGATGCAGTATTTCTCAAATTCCTTACTACCTTTTCCTCCTATAGTGATCATCAGGTCATCCCTCTAACCTCAGGGGTGGGAAAGGGAATCATTTATTGAACACCTACCAGACACCCAGTTTTATATACACCTTGTATAGTCCTCACAACCTTAAAAGTTAAATAGGTGTCCTTAACTTTGGCAGGTGAGGAATCTAATTGACCAGAGGCTACCACCTTAAGCAGAGCCAAAGCTAGAGCCTAGGCCCACAGGCCCCCCGGGCCCCCGCTTTCCTGTATGCAGCTTTGCGTGGCACAGGTTGGCAGGACGTTTTGTGTATAATTTCTTCCGACACACATGGTCAGCGAAGAGGAAAAGCCTCTGTACCAGAAAGCAAGAGCCTTCTATAGCAAGTAGAGAAGGTGATGAGCTGGGAGGCCAGCATTAAGCCCCGTCTTCATGGTCTGAATTCTGAATTCCTAAGAAGGGGTCGTTTGGTATCAGAAAACTGAAAACCCAATGGTTTGGACTATCCATACTAAGACACCTTTCCCTTAGCAAGGGGATATATAGCCTGAGCCCATCTCTACCTCTGCCTGTCCTTGAGGACAAGCTCACTTCCTGAACAGGTGTTTCTTTCAAAGCAGCCGAGGCTAAGATGGCATTCCTCTCCTGACTGCCAAAGTTACAGCCTCAAAAAAAGGACCTTATTTCTTAATGATGGGAACTTTTGCCACCAGTAGTCCTGCTTCCACCCACACCACGTAACCCAAGTTTTTGGCTTCCACTGAGCACTATCTTTATCCCTGACAGTTTCAGGCCTAGGTGAGAGGTGTGGCTGTCAAAACAATCCCGTTCTTCCTTTTACACAAACCCTCCCACACCCATAGGCGCTTCCTCCTTCTGCCAAAACAAACTTTATTGCACCAAAAAGAAAAAAAAAAAAAACAAAAAACTTCATTTATGTACAGTCAGATATAAAGACATATCTTTGACTCCTGTGCATATATTTCCTCAACTCAAGATTAGGACGTAAAAGTCAGGCTAGTACGCCAGACATGCTCTGCCCATGGCAGGACCAAGGAGAGGATTGTCACTTGAAAGTGGGAACACTTAAATGTATGACAGGTAACACTGGACCAACAGACCAAGGGCATTCTTCCAAGCCTGTACTAGCTCTGGGAATGGAAGAGGGAAATTGGAAGCAGGGCCCCTTCTTGAGTCGTCTTGTGAAGAGGCCCAGCCTTCAGGTTTCAAAGCTATACTTCTGTCCCCCAAGCCCACTTCCTGTCCAGTTCCTTTGCTTCCTGCCCTCCCAAGTAGGACAGTCTCCTTTGTGCCCAACCCCCTTCCCAACTTCCCCAGGAAGTCTCATGACCCACAAGGCAGAGGCCTCTAGCAGCGGGCAGAGCAGGTACAAGTTATCCTCTCCCTTACATGTGGCTGGATACTGACTGAGGCCCTGTGTCATGTGGATCACCAATACCCCACTGGGAGACCTATCAGTAAGAATCTGGAAAGTACAGGAGAACACATCAAAAAGGGGAAGGATGGGTTCCCTTGATGCCCAGTGTCACAGGGCACCTAAAGTACATTTTTCTGAGCCAACCAGATAAAGGATCACTGCAGCTAAATAGAGAAGCGACACAGCCAGGCAAACACCCATCAGAGTCAGTGACCAAGAGCAGTTGGGGGTGGGGGGGGGAGAGAAGGAGAGGAGTCTTCACAGAGTCCCAGCTTCAATCCCCTCTGCCATTGGCCACCCTTGCTCCCCACAACTCCCTGGGCCTTTTTTTTTTTTTTTTTAAACTGGTACACGGGCCTCTCACTGTTGTGGCCTCTCCCGTTGCGGAGCACAGGCTCTGGACACGCAGGCTCAATGGCCATGGCTCACGGGCCCAGCCACTCCGCGGCATGTGGGATCTTCCCGGACCGGGGCATGAACCCGTGTCCCCTGCATCGGCAGGCAGACTCTCAACCACTGCGCCACCACGGAAGCCCCGCCACCACGGAAGCCCCACCACCACGGAAGCCCCCTCCCTGGGCCTTGAAGTGAGGAGGGGGACTACAGGCTGAGGTGAAAACACACAAGGACAGCCAAACAAAATACAATAGGACTAGCATCAGCCTCCCCCCTGTACCCCACCCCCAGGAGTAATACCCTCATTGTGACTAGTATTTATGAAAAATCTGTAAGAGACTGTTCTATGTAGTGGCTCTAATCCCATACACACAACAGTTGTCTGCATTGGGAACTTTTCAAATCGGTGATTGCGGGAACAAACGGCAATTCAGCTTCTTATGGTGCCTGTGCAGGCTTTACCAAGACCTTGGTTCAGGCCCAGTCACATTTACCTTCTGTCTTAAATCTAGAATGGGTGAGGGAAGGGGGGGGGGCAGAGGAGAAAGGTGCTCAGGTGCTAGGTAAAGCTTACTCATCAGCAGCCTAGACTCCACCACTGTTCCTTCTCTTTGGTCTGTCTAGAACAGTGACTATAAATTAGGAAAAACAAAATTATGCTGGCCTGTGGGAAATGATGGGGGTAAAGAGGCAGGGAGGAAAAGGGCATTGGGAAGCCCTGCTTCAAAACTGAAGACAGACAGACAGACAACCACCCAGACTGCTTAAGTGTCACAGACAGCCCCCCACCCCAAGCTCCCTTCCAGATATCCCCATAAATCATTTGGGCACACTCCCTCTAGGAATTGCAATTTCTGTCTCCACCTGTCCCTAAGGAGCTGGCCCTGTGGAGAGGTGTGTTGGTTGTTTTGTTTTTGCCAGAGGCCCTCGCCCTAGGTGCTCCTGCATAGGTACCTTGGCCCCTGATATGGGATGAACACAGCCCCAGATGCTCGAGAGCCAAGGAGGTCAGATCGGGAACAGCCTCCCCACTTCCACACCCTGGGATCCAAGCTTGCTTGGTTCTTGCCATCTTGCGGGATGATGTCACATTTGGAGGGAGATACACAAGTGCCTCTCCATCCCTGGGGTGGGGGGAAGGGACTTTGCTGGGACTCTCGAGTGGGGGGAGGGGAGAGGGGAGCAGGGTCTAAACCCTCAGGCTCCCGTGCAGGTCTGTCTCTGTCCCAGACGAGCTGCTATCAGAGTCCATTTCGGCGTTCTCATTATGGAGCCTCTCCAGCACTTTCTGACGAATCAGTCCCAGGCGCATCAAGAGGGACTGGTAGTCAAAGTGGCCCCGCTTCTCTCCAAAAGGGTCCTGTGGGGGAAAGGAGACAAGCGGGAAGGAAGATTCAAGTCTGGGTGGCTCACCCTAGACAGAGCAGCTTTAGGCCCACGTGAAACACACGCTCAACTTCTGAGCATGGGGACAGAAGGGGGCATAGCACAGAGAGTTCCCAACAGCAGACATCATCATCTTTGTTTAGGAATATTGTGGCACGTTCACCACCCCAGATAGGTCTGGCTTGGGCCAACATTAAAATGTGTTTGCATTCCCCCAAAGCAAGCCACTGTGCAGAAGGGGGACACAGTAACGGCGAGATAGATAGGGAAGAGAAATTCAAGACCAGGACTGTAATCATTAAGTGTGCTGGTGTTTTCAATTAACCTCATACAAACTATATAAGGGGAAAATTACCCTTCATTCCCTATACTCAAAAAGGGTAATTTGCTTTTCTGAGATCATAGGCAGGTCTAGAAGGAAGGAGTTCTGACTTCGGATAAGCACCTGCCCTCCTCCCCACGGACCAGTCATCACATTCCTGTCCAGGTTTCTGGGCATCACTCCAGTCCTTGTCATTCGAGATCAAAGATAACCAAACATTACGTGGAAAGGGGTTAACTGTCCTTAAAGTCTCAAAAATAACTATGGGTGGGGTGAAGGGTATAAAAAAAGAAATTTAAAATGCTAAATAAGGATTATGGCAGCAAAGTAGCTTGCCCAGCGTTCAAACAAGTGGAGACCTCTTTCCTTGGCAGTTACAAAAAGTCCACGATTTTCCCTCTCACATAATGTCTGCTTCTCCCACCTAAACTCCTTCCACACTTCTGCCCGCACATTACCATCATGATCAAGGGCCAGTGGATGTAAGTCAGTCTCTTGTGACTACAGCCCATACTTTTCACATTTGAGGGTTATGTTCTCCCAAAACTGAACTCCACACTTACTCTGGAGCTGTCAATTTCCCAAATCTTCCTCCTTTCTTCACTGGCTCCATTTCTACCCATTCTCCGCCTTCCCAGATGCTGCTCCTCCCTGCCCTTCCCTTGTCATGAGTTGGTTTTCCTTCACAGACTGAACATTAGAAATGCTGCTAGATACCAGCAATGATAATTCCTGATGGGGAACAAGCTACAGCATGCATCATCCTCGATATAGTCTCAGAAAAGGTTCAGGAAACAAGTCAGCCTTGAGCTGGTCCTGCCCTTTGAGTTTAAATGCGGGACATAGGAGGGAAGTCCTTGAAGGGAGGATAGGGAAGCTACCATCTCTGAGCAGCACCTGAGGAAACAAAACAGTTACTCCCACTGCTGGTGGTGCTGGGTGGGTGGGAACATAGACCAAAAAGAACTGGAAAGAACCTGAAGAGGCTTTAGCCACTTATCCAAGTCACCACTTTTCTAAGCAAGTAAATGATCCAACAGACACAGGACTGGCCCTTCAGGACAGGAAGATTCTCAACCAGTTGCTTATATTGGATCCTATTTACAATTCGGTTTAATAAGAACCTCTTCTTTTAAGCAAGCCTAAATTCTGCATTCTTATTGGAAGCAGAAGCACATTTCCCCAGTAGTGGCAGAGAACGAACAACTGGTTACCATCCTTGTATTAGGTTCTTTCAACAATAGTTGCACACCCAATGTTTCCCTAAGCATTCCTTCTCTTAGCACCCCCCTGAGCTAGGGATGGAATTCCAACAGATGACTCTCATAATCCCTAAGTTCTGAGAGGGCTGAATGTTCTTGGTTTGAAAAGACTACTGACCAAGAAAGGAAGGAGTTCCAGGCTAGAAAGCAGGATGATTCAGATTCTACTCTTGAGTACCTACTTTATGCCAGGAACCTAGAACCAACTCCATATGACTTCAGTCTCTCTCTGGGCCTCAGCTACTCAATGCACCAGGTTCCTTTTGGCTCTGCACTCTATGAGAGATGTGGATGTCACCCTTGTGAGGGGGATTTACATGGTCTGTTGTAAGGCCTCTGGAGTCAGCAGCGGGGGCTCTGTTACCTGCATAGTCTGGCCTTGAAGGTGCAGACGATCTTTGCAGGCCACCTCATAGAAGTCATAATACTCCAGGAAGGACTTCTCCATCACCCCTCTGGAAAACAAGCAAAGCAGCTTCACTTAGGAACAAGAGGGGAAGGCACCACCCCTTCACCATCGAACCTTAATGCCAAATTCAGCAGCTAGAGTTTCCAAGACCAGATTTGGTTTCCTACAAAGATCTTTCAATGGAAAATGGAAAAAGAAACAGCTGACTGACCATGGTTGATTTCCCTTATACCCTAAGGATTATAAAATGAGAGTGACTGTTAATACTGATCATTTGAACTCCAACTTCAACTCATGACTTTGCTCATTCTCATTCGTTTTCCACAGGCCATCCCTAATCCCAAACCTTACTCAAAATTCTCCTAGATACACCTGAAACACTGTAATCAACTATACATCAATTAAGAAAAAAGAAAGAAAAAACCGTTGCCCCCCCATTTCCTAGAAAAGTTTGTTTCATTAACTCTTTGCTCATCTAGTTTTTAACACCTAGAAATAAACTTGAACCCTAAGAAATGGGTTTATCATGAAGTACTCTACACCTCATTTGGCTGTATAACAGTTAAGTGTCTTTAGTCAAACAGGGGCTCCCTGAAGGCATGGACTATGTCTTTCCCATCAGGCTCGGCACTCTCCAAGAACCGAAAAGCTCTCTGAACTTCCTTTTGGGTAACCCCTTGGTCACTTGCTCTTTAAAAGCATGAACCACATCTTTCCTCTTTCTCTTTCTCTGGTGCCCAACACTGGACTTTGCCGCAAAGGTTCTCAAATGTACGAACAAGCTCAATATCCAGAAGGAATACCAAGTACCAAGTGGGCTCTCTTCACACATACCGTAGGGGTTCAGGGCAGGGACACTTTCCTTCCATCATGTCACAGACCGCCACTCTGATGGTCTCATGCCGAATACATTCATTGTAATTTTTGCTGTCTCCTGGATGTCTCTCCTATAATGTGACAGACACCACAGTATCCAAGTACAAAATTTAGGTAAAAAGAAAAGCCAATGGGAAGAGATTTTAGGATTAGTATGGGGTACGTGACCCAAGCAAATGAACTAAGAGGATGCCTTTCCCACTATATGGCAGATCCATGAAGAGCAACTAAGTCCTTGAGACCCCTCCCCCCCCCCCCCCCCCCCACACATACCAGTACCCATCCTCTGTTATGGGTCATTTGACCTATAAGCAGCAAACCACATCCATCAAATTTCCCTAAGCCTGAAATGAAAGGCCTCGCAGGAAGGATTAAGTGGGAAATAACCATGTGTAAGAATAATGGTGGGACAAAAAGGTATAAATGATGCTAGGAGTCTTAGCCTGAAAAACCTATAGATATCGGGATGCTTCCTGGTTAACGCCTTTACACATCTGTGGATTCCACCATCATTGAATTCAACTATTGTCTATCAGAAGTAGAACCTGAAGTTTTCAAAAGAAAAAACTCCGAACCTGGTCTGGAGAGCTGATAGGAACATGTGGGCGTGAACAGACGGGAGCATGGCGTTCCACCCTTTAACTCTTCCCTTGGTCCCCCCTCCCACCACCAACTCTAGTCAATCAGAGCCTTGGCTCTGATCAAAACATGTAATGAACAGGAAATACACACATGCCTTCAGCCTACCATCACGGTTCCCAATGTGCACCACAGCGAAATCACAAGGGCACTGTGGGATACTGTAAACTTTTTGAGGAAAACCACAGTATTCAACACCTGTGAAATTCCATGCAAACTACTACCTTGAGATAGGTAGTTCAGTTTTTTTTTGTTGTTGTTGTGGTACGCGGGCCTCTCACTGTTGTGGCCTCTACCGTTGCGGAGCACAGGCTCCGGACGCGCAGGCTCAGCGGCCATGGCTCACGGGCCCAGCCGCTCCGCGGCATATGGGATCTTCCCAGACCGGGGCACGAAGCCACGTCCCCTGCATCGGCAGGCGGGCTCTCAACCACTGTGCCACCAGGGAAGCCCTAGGTAGTTCAGTTTTAATGTTGAACTGTATTACATTCCTTTTGATGACATATTGTTTTCACGAAGCTGAATTTTCAGTCACTACTTTAGTAAATAGCAAGTAGCATATGAAAACAGGAGGGAACAGAAATGAGGGTGGTGGCTCTGGTCTGATTCCAAGATTTTAAAAGTTGTATGGCACTGAACAGGTGTACACATCCCATTATTAAGTCAGTGTAGTCATCTGAGAAGGAAGTAAGTTGTTTGGACCTAACTACTTAACAAATGGAACAGTGTGGCATTTCTTTCTGCCTGGGGAACTGTGAAAAAAAAACTACCAAGACAAGGGGGTTCTGTGAACCAAGAATGTTTGGTAGTTTTAAGAATAAAAGGGGTCCCATCTCTTGAATTTCCAAACAAGACGTAAAAATCAGGTCCTTGGTTAGCCAATGAGGTCCGTTTCCATTTCCACCTACTCCTGAAATCACATTCACTATTTGTTTGAAAGGATGGCTTAGGGAATAATTTTTGTTCATTCCTTTTTTTTTTTTTTTTTTTTTTTTTACCGTACGCGGGCCTCTCACTGCTGTGGCCTCTCCCGCCACGGAGCACAGGCCCCGGACGCGCAGGCTCAGCGGCCACAGCCCACGGGCCCAGCCGCTCCGCGGCATGTGGGACCCTCCCGGACCGGGGCACAAACCCGTGTCCCCCGCATCGGCAGGCGGACCTCCAACCACTGCGCCACCAGGGAAGCCCAATTTTTGTTCATTCTTAAAGGGTATTTCCCTTTGTTTAGGACTACAGAAGAATCACCAATGTTAGTGTTATCTCAAATAGTTTCAAAATGAATTAAGCCGTTTTAATCATTTAAACTGAATTACTGTATCTTTTGATAATATCACTGGAACTCTTTTCCTGTGCTCATGAGTAATCTGGAAGGGGCTTTGAAACAATGGAAGACTTTGGGCTCCGGGGATTACATCCTGATCTGTGTGTCCTTGTGAAAGTTAAGTAACCTCTCCGAGTCACCATTACCTCGGCTGAAAATGGGGATAACATTTATCTTGCAGAGTTAGTATGAGGATTAAATGAGCAGTTACATATAAAGTTTGGAAGGGGCTGGCATATAGTACAGCCTTGGGAATTATGGGTTTTCTCCACCTTCTGTTTGGCAGCACTGACTAAAATACTCTTGCCCTAGCCAATGACTGTTCCTGTGGTTCTGCAGGTAACAGTACTTCACAACTCCAAAAGAAAGTCTGGCTCAGCAGTAGTCACTAGGGAGCACCTTAAAGGGATACTGGGGAATGGAGGCATACAGAACACACTGGCTCCAAGAGCCCCCAAAACAGACACAGAATCAATTTCCAAATGACTCCACTAACTTTAATCCAAGTCAAATGGAAATAACTTATGTTATTGTAATAGGGAAAAAAATTCATTATTAAGGCACACACATGCCAGCTCCTTTTTTCTCCCACAGTGACGAGTTTAATACATGGGGCTGAGCCAGGTCAAAAACAAAACAAAAACCCCCAAGTAGATGTTTCAGATCTCTTAAAACCCAATATTCTACACCCCAAAGCTGGGCCCACCTGGCCTTACCTGCTCAAAGCCAGGTTCATTGTGATAAGGGTTCTCAGTCATCAGGGACTGGATGGAGATGAGCACGGAAGAGATGCTCTGGGCTGGGCTCCAGGCAGGGCCAGTCCATGTACTGCAAAACACATCAGAAGGAAGGGAAGAGGGTGAGGCAGAGAGAGACGGGAAAGGCCCTACAGAAAGACCAGTGTACGAGTACCCCGGGGCCTGGAAGCACCATCATAAGTGACTCACTTTCTCTTTCACTATTAATATTCTGGAATTTCCCAGCCTCCATCTCACCCTCATTCACCAGAAATCACTCAACTGCCTAATCCTCTTATCAAGTGTCACAAAAGAGGGCAAAGTAAGCAAAGTAACTTTGAAGGGATTTTCTTTGGGCTAGGAGAGAAACAGTAGCCAGGGAAGGTTCCCTTCATCAAAATGAAAGAAATAAGGTAAGAAAACAGCTCCAAAGGCAAGCTAAATGTTAACCTCTATGGATCTTAAAGAGCTTATTTATTTATGGGTGGTGATGGAGTCAGAGAGGAGAGAGAAGTTGAGCACAGAGGCAGAGAAGGGACTGAAGCTCCCTGGTTAGAGGCCATGTGGTGGGGTTGATGATCGGGGATCCAGCTCTCTATCAAACCCCCAAAGAGTGTCAAATCCTCTGAAAACTACAGAACTCTGCCAAAGGACAGAAAGGGAATAAGGGGCACTTCTAGAGTGTGGAGGGTTTGAAAATAATACATGAACAACATCTTCAACAACAGAGAAACACCAAAATTGCTCCTCTCTTTCGTATGCCTGATGGAATGTTGGGAGAAGGAGGGAAGCTTGGACATTAAGGACATTTATTTTTAACTCAATTAATTGAAGAGATGGCACCTGAGCTGGAAGCTGAACACAACCTGAACCAGGACTGCCTTGTTCAAGTTAACTCGCCACTTCCCTTTCCCTGCTGGCCTTGAGGGAAGGCCAGTAAGTAATGGGGAACAGTAACTTCCTCAGAGCTCGCTCTTCAGTGCCTCTCAACCTCTCTTCTCAGCTTCAGTTCCCCAGGAACCCTAGACCTTGTGCTCTCCGAAGCATCTAGTATTCGGGCATTGAAGTCAACAGGGTAAACTCATTCAATTTCTTTTGTAAGTCAGCCCAATATTTTTTTCTAGGTAGGGAGGAAAGGAATGCAGCTGTTAAAGTGAATAGTCAACTAAGTACGCATGGGAATTTTCTACTCTGATTCTTGACGGCAAATTTTCAAATTCAGAGTAGCTTCTCCTTTTCCACCCAATACTTCTGCCACTTTTACCCCACCATCTTACTTCCCCTGTTTCTACCGTGAACCAATGTTTGCTCGAAATAGTTTTATATTGGCCTAATGAAGGAAAACCTAATACAAAAACACTTACAAGAACAACTTTCATACAGAAACAACAACTAAGTTTCCTTACCACTGTGGTTTATATATACCGCTACCCTTCCAGCACAGACAATCCTATACCCTAACGAGATAAAGGACTTCTTTAAGGACAACCTCCTTCAAAGGACTTTCTCACTGCCGCAATCACAGAACATATTCTTCGATCTGAGAGAATTGGGCAGAGGGAGAAGTTTGTTTCAGCTGCCTTTTCCCCACACAAACCTAATATATTGGATTGGACAGGAAGAAAGAAAACAGTATCACCAGTCTGGGCAACTTTCTTAACTTCAACTTTTACTTGTTCTATGCCCCAGGGAAATTCAGACCACACTAAAAAGACCAATTCAGAATATGCTAGAAGATATTTCCATTCTGAATTTTTAACCCCCGAAGGAGATTAAAAGGGAATGGATGAGAACTACATGAAGCAAAATCTTGGTAGCACCCAGAAACAAAAATGTACTTGAAACATCTGTGTTTCATATCTGATGTGACTTCCAACCTCAGACATTTTCATTCAGTTGCTAAAACATAATCATCATCATCACCACCACTGCCTCCAAAGCCACTCACGAGAGACTCAGGAATAAGACATTCACAGCCTTGAATGGCACAGGATCTGCAGCCTTTCTCAACCTGCTCAGGAGAGAATTAAGCCCTGATGCCCTAAGGGAGTAGTTCTCCAACAGTTTGCACCAGAATCACCTGGAGAGCCTGTAAGACACAGACTGCTGGCCCTACCCCCAGAGTTCTTGATATAATAATTCTAGGTTGGGGGCCCAGACTCTACATGGCTATAAATTCCCAGATGCTACTGCTGCTCGGGGTGAACCACTTCACTAAGGCATCCACTGTACGTCATGAATTAACTTCTTTTTCTGCATCTAGAATGACAGTAATCAAGTACCATCCGGGGGAGAATTGAGGAAACAGTCACTCCAATCATTTTCTGTGTCCTGTGATTCAGATGAGAAACCCTGGTTGATGAAGGCTGGCCTAGAGTAATATTTGCTAACAACCAACTTGGCCACTTAGAAGTCTCCTCTTACCCTAGAATACTCAAGCAGACTTTCCCATTGCGGTAGAAGTTGGGGTTAAACCTCACTGTGTTATTGCCCGTTGTCATCAGTTTGACCCGAGGTGGGTGGATGGGATAGTCGGGCGGACACCGAAACACGAACAGGAAGAAACCCCCTTCATAAGGAGTGTCAAATGGGCCTGTGATCAATGCATGAATCTGCAAAATAAAACCCCATCTCAAAATTGTGAGGTGATGTCCCATCCCAAACCCTCCTGGCTTCCACTTGCTACCCACGCCAGAAGCAGGACCTTCATCTGAATCCATATTCCATATCCTCACCATGAAAAATGAATAGCCTGTGCTCACTCACACCAATAAATATTTTTGGAATTTTAAGAAACCCCATTACAGTGTAGTGGCATCTTACTCAGGGGTTACATTCTAAAGTTAGAGCCCAAGGTGAAAATTTAATCTAGCCAAAATCACCCTTGAGTGTCCCTTAAAACTCCCTTAAAGCATGTTTTTTGTTCGGACTTCCCTGATCAGTATTTTATATAACAAATGGATAGAACACCAACGTGCAAAACATAATATACATCTGTAAAATATTGTCCTAGCATGCTTAATTTTAAGAAATCAATACATATTTTTACTGAGTACGTATGTTTGGATTTGCCTAGGTTAAACATGCGTACGATGCAACTCCACCCTCCATTTATGTGGCACAAAGGGGAGGAGATGAATGGAAAAGAAGAAAGGGATTGGAGGCCACAGCACCAGTGCCAATCACAGGGCAGAGCTGAGGGTTGTGATGGAGGCCTACAGTATCTGTCTCCTCCGCAGAGGATCAAACCTACTGTGGAGGATGTGGCTCAGGCAGCATCCAGCTGTGTGAAAGATACAAAGAAAAATGGGGAAACTCAGGGTCCACTCGGAGCCATAGACTATCCCCAAAACTTTCCCCAACACTGTAGGTTAATAATAATATAAAAAAATCAGCAGCACTTGAAACAAAATGCTAAGTTCTCTTCCTCCAGCTGTGATTTATTGAACAAGACTTCCCTTCTTGAAGGGAAGAAAACCTAACTGACTCAGTTATATTTCTTCATCTACAAAGGCTCCTAGGCACTTAAGTCTGCTCAGAATTTAAACAGCAAGAGGAAAAAGGACCTGCAATCCAATGCCTCTGTCTATAGTCCCCACCTTGCCCTGGTGGCATCCTATGTTATCTTTTAGCCTTCAGTCATTTGGAATAGCAAGCTCAAATGGTATCAACATGACATCAATTCTGGGACCCCAGGGACTAGCATATTAACACTAATACTTGACTAAGAACAAGATGTCCCAGGAAAAACATTTCCAACCACATAAAAAGAAAAAAATCAATTTAAAGGGAAACCTATTCAAAACAAAACAGACACACAAATAATACCAAATCTGAATTTTTACTATAAGAAATTTGACACTAAAAGGAGTTTTCATTTAAACAACACTAGATTTAGGTAATCTGATTTCTTCCCGATATCAGTTTAAGTAAAAATTCACTTCTCAGGGTAGAGCAATCAATGACAGAGAAGTCTAGGTATCTATGCCAGAGGAATTTAAGCTTTCTCTTGTGTCTGTGTGTGGACAAGAGAGGAACGGTCTTTGGGGTGGAAAGGATATTCAAAAGCAATCAGTAAGGACAGGAGCCTAAACAAGGCCCTGTAACTACAAACACTGTTCACTCAAGCCTGTCCCATCCCCAACCTTCTTGGCATCTGACTTACAGCACCACACTTAAAGGTCAAGAGTGGCAAGATGGGGGAAGAGTTGGCTAGTACAATAGGGTGACCATATAATTTATCATCCAAACTGGAGCATTTTTGAGAGGTAAAGAGTGCTCTATTAATAATTAAGCTTGGACAACAGGCATAAACTGGCTTTTCCAAGCCAACCAGGACCTTTTGGCACCCCAAAAGAGATACCTGTTCAAGGCTCTGTTCCACCTCACTGTGTGACCTTGGGCAAGCCACTTACTCTCTTGGGGTTTTGATTTATTCATCTACGTAATCAGAGATGTGAGCTGGATAATCTCTTTTAGGCTCTTTCAACTTTATGGGCCCAATTTCCCAATAACCCCCAAACCCCACCAAGGTACATACCTTAGTCATGTCAACAGTATCAGGTACAACGAACATTCCTGGAGGAGGCTCCTTATAAATGGACATGATATCCCTGTATAACACCAAGAGGAAGTGGGGGAGGGAGTGAGGGAGAGGAGAAAAAAGGGGAATCCCTTGAGCAGGACAGTTGTTATCACCTCAGTGAGGCCAGGGTTCGAGAAAGTGGTGCTTGGTACCACAAACGTTTGCACCGTCTTGTTGGCTGAGAAATCTCAGCTGAGTATTTGTCAGGCAAGCAGAGAGCAAATTATTATCAAAGGGGCATTGTTTCCTCAGGGGGAGGGAAGGGAGAGGGGGAAAAAAAAAATCAGAGATCCCAATGGTATCCAATGTCGCCCTGGAAAAGCCGCATCCCATTTACTCACTTCCTCCCACATGGCACTTCACTCACTCCCCACCTCCGAGATTCCCAGGGACTACAGCTGAATGCTACATGAAGATTTCTCGGTAACTGGGAAGGCATAGTCAACTCCACTAAAAAACTAATTCCATAAACCACACAGTGGACCGTTGTTAGCACGGGGATTATATGAAGCAAGTGAGCTAGCAGGGAGCAATAATGGCCTTCTTGCCCAGGAGACTAACAGTGTACAGACCTCTTCAGGTTGGGATGGGGACCCTCTGAAATTGCTGAGAATCTCACAGGTGGAGGATGACATGAAGTCATTACTATAGAAGATGAGAGGACTTCTAGGTCATAGCTCATAAACTAGAATGGATCAGTTGTGAGCAAGGGCCTATAGGTGGGAAATCTAGGGACTTGCTACGGTACAGAGGGACATAAAAAAGTGCAAACAAGTGACAGAGTGGAGGAAAAGAAGTATTGGCAGAACTCAGAGATATGTTAGGATTGGAAGACTGAAATGGCTGAAGGAGTACAAGAGTTGAGAAGTGCTGAGTTTCTCAAGTTAGAGGTGGCAACCCTGATGGAGTTGGCAAACTGTGTCAGGCACTGGGCCAGGTACTTTACACACAGTATGCTGTTTAATTTTTAGTACAACCTTGAAAGTAGGTAGAAACATCTGAAAGAACTTGGAATGTGGGGAATGTGATTACCTAGATGAGGATGACTGTGATGGTGGCATGGGGAGAGAGAGTCTGGCTATCAGCAAACAGGTTTCAGGATTAATAGCAGCTAAAAAGCATTCCCTTTTCCTATGTGATAGGTACTATGCTAAGCAATTTCACAAAAACATTATCTATTAAATGATATGATCTGAGATCAGTCACCCAAGAAATAAGCACAGAAGGGCCTTGGGCCTTTGTTCCTATATTTCAATTGGGTACATTTGCTTCAGAAAGTAAATCACATGACTCAGAGGAAAGAATACAGAAAAGAAAGTCTTGACTGGGATATCACAAGCCAATGTGAGACTGGGTGGGGGGGCGGCAGGGGGATGGAAGCTTGAGTTCCTGGAACAGGTGTGAGAGTAGAGAGCTTTGGGGTTCTGGAAAAGTGGTTCAAGAGAAGGCTGCTGGCATGCGTGGGAAGCGACCTAGACTTGGGTAGGGGACTCTGTGGAAGGGGTTGAGGAGGCCGGGAATAAAGCCAGGATGGCCTGACGTCTCAGGCCGGGCAAAGCAAGCTGTGTGTGTGTCTTACAAATGGGGCTCGGGAGGAGACGACGCAGGGGACCGCTGGGTGGGGCCTCCGGGCTGCATCTAACAGGGCTGGGGTGGAGAAGGGGGGAGAGGGGCGGTGCGGAGGGCGGGAGGGGGTGTTACTGAAGCGCCGAAGGGTCGGGTTTCGGGCGGGAGGTCGGGAGGTGTGGGGGAGGGTGTCCGGACTGGAGACTGAGGGCTCAAGGGAGGTTACCGAGGGGCGGGGTCGGACCTGGATACGCGAGGAGGGGCTTGGTGCGTGTGGGGCTGGGGGCGGGGGGAAAGGGGACTTGGATCCCGACGCTCCGGGCTGGCAAGACGTGGGCTTGGGAGCTGGGCCACCGCGAGGGCAGTGGGGGTGGCAGTGGGACAGAGTGGGGGCGGCGGGGAAGGTCGAGCCCCGGAGCTCGGGGCTGGGGGAGGAAAAACCCCGGCTCACCGCTTGATCCGGAGTAGACACTGCGGCGCGGTTCGCTCGCCGTCCCAGTCGGAGCTGAGTGTGGGGTCCCAGTGGCTAAGCAGCGCGGCCCCGTGGGCAGCGGCCGAGGGCGGGAGCCCGGGCAGCGGAGCCAGGCCGCTCCCTGGCCCCCCGGCCCCGCCCGCTGCCGCCGCCGCCGCCCACACATCCGGCAGGAAAGGCGGCCCGAACCCGCCGCCGCCGCTAACGCCAACAACACCGGCGACGCCGCTCGCCCCGGGGCCCGCCGCCCCGGCGCCTGCCGTCGCCGCCTCCTCAGTCGGACTCTCCGCCATCGCTCCTTCGCTTCCGGGACTGCTCGGCAGCACGTCCGCCGACCAGAGCGGCCGCTGCTCCCTCCCGCTCCCCGCACCACCGAGAGCGGGGCCAGAGTGTCCCCACCCTCCGCTTCCCCGGCCTGGGCGGTGTTGGCTCCGCCCACCCCCGCCCCGACCAGCGAGAGGCGCTCTGCAAGAGCGTCCACCCACAGTCCTCCAGGGCGGGCGGGGGTCGGAGCTCGCCGGCCAAGCGAGGGTACTGGGCCTGCGCGGGTCCCGCGCTTTGCGGGAGGAAGTTCTGAGGCGGGTACGGACTCCTAGGTGCAGTTGAGGACCCAATTCCAAGGAATATTTTAGTTTCAAGCGTTGAAAGGGGAGGAGAGGAGGACCATTTACCACATCTAGGAAAGCGACCCTCTGACGTGCCCAAGGGGTAGGACTGGGGATCCAGCTTCCTTGTGGGGAGGTGCTGGGTAGAGGAGTTGACCCGCTTAGGGCCCTTCCTGTCCTAAAGTCTCTGTGATTTATCCTTCCTGCACCCTCACCCACGGAGGGCAGGCTGCCATTGCCCCCTGCCTGCAACAGGACCAAGAGGAAGGAAGGAAGGAATCAGGAACTACGAGTGAAAAACTACCTCGTTTTAGAGTTTATTCGATATATATTTATGAAGGGCTTGCTAAATGCCAGGCACTTTTGCTAGGCGTTGCCATAGGGATAATAAAACAAACCTAGAGAAGCTTGGTAAAAAGAAGAAAATCAGGCCTCCTGACTCCAAGCTCAACATTTCTTTCCACAAGGCCTTGAATATGCAGGAATCAAGGGGCTGTGAGTTTAAATCCTGGGAGGATTCCTCAGGACTTTACTGAGATTAAGCTGAAAAAATACAAGCCATCAAAGAAACAAAAACAAGCCATCCAAAAAAAAAGCTTTCCCTTTTCTGCCTATCAAGAGTACAGGATCGGGACTTCCCTGGTGGTCCAGTGGTAAAGAATCCGCCTTACAATGCAAGGGACATGGGTTCGATCCCTGGTCGGGGAACTAAGATCCCACGTGCCACAGGGCTACTAAGCCTGCGTGCCACAACTACTGAACTCGTGCACCTCAACTAGAGACCCCGTGCCGCAAACTACAGGGCCCATGCGCTCTGGAGGCCATACGCCACAGCTAGAGAGGGAAAACGCACCGCCACAACTAGAGAGAAGCCCGCGTGCTGCAACGAAAGATCCCACATGCCTCAACACAGATCCCGCGTGCCGCAACTAGGACCCAACACAGCCAAAAATAAAAAAGTAAATAAATAATAATTAAAAAAAAAAAGAGTACAGGATCATAATTTAACACTCCCAGCAAGACCTCGGGCAGCACTCAGTAACCAAACATACTGATACTTCTGTAGCAAAGCATATGAATATTCATATTAATTTGGGTACACTTATGAATATTCATACAAAATCAGACGAATAGCCTCACTTTATTTTTTATTTTTAAACTTTTTTTATTTCTTTAATGTTGTATCTATTTATTTTTATTTTTGGCTGTATTGGGTCTTCGCCGCTGCTCGTGGGCTTTGTCTAGTCGCAGCGAGCGGGATCCACTCTTCGTTGCAGTGCGCGGGCTTCTCATTGCGGTGGCTTCTCTTGTTGCCGAGTGCAGGCTCTAGGCGCACGGGCTTCAGTAGTTGTGGCACAAGGGCTCAGTAGTTGTGGCACGTGGGCTCTAGAGCGCAGGCTCAGTAGGTTGTGGCTCACGGGCTTAGTTGCTCCGCAGCATGTGGGATCTTCCTGGAACAAGGCTCGAACCCGGGTCCCCTGCATTGGCAGGCGGATTCCCAACCACTGCGCCACCAGGGAAGCCCCAGCCTCACTTTAGATTACGTTTTGCCGCCAAATTTGTTTCTTAAAAAAGAAGTCCTGTTTTCACAGCTTTATGAATTTTCCAGCCAGGGACTGTGGAGTTGAGTGATAATAGCCAGCATTTATTGAGAGCTAAAATACTGGATTTTTAGTTAACATTTATTGAGTGCCTGATAGGTGCCAAGCGCTTTTTTTTTTTTTTTAACACAAATGGATTTTTTTTTAAATTTTTGGCTCCGTTGGGTCTTCGTTGCTGTGCGTGGGCTTTCTCCAGTTGCGGCGGGCGGGGGCTGCTCTTCGTTACGGTGCGCGGGCTTCTCATTGTGGTGGCTTCTCTTGTTGCGGAGTACGGGCTATAGCCGCACGGCCTTCAGTAGTTGTGGTACACAGGCTCAGTAGTTGTGGCTTGCAGGCTCTACAGCACAGGCTCAGTAGTTGTGGCACATGGGCTTAGTTGCTCCGTGGCACGTGGATCTTCCCGGACCAGGGCTTGAACCTGTGTCCCCTGCATTGGCAGGCGGATTCTTTTTTTATTATTATTTTTAAAATTTTATCTTATTTATTTTTTTTTTTTTTTATCTTATTTTTAAAATTATTTTTGGCTGTGCTGGGTCTTCGTTGCTGTGCACAGGCTTTCTCTAGTTGCGGCCAGCAGGGGCCACTCTTTATTGTGGTACGCGGGCTTCTCATTACAGTGACTTCTCTTGTTGTGGAGCATGGGCTCTAGACGTGCGGGCTTCAGCAGTTGCAGCACACGGGCTCAGGAGTTGCAGCACGCGGGCCCTAGAGCGCGTGGGCTTCAGTAGTTGTGGTGCAAGGGCCTAGCTGGTCCGCGGCATGTGGAATCCTCCTGGACCAGGGCTCGAACCCGTGTCCCCTGCACTGGCAGGCAGATTTCCAACCACTGTGCCACCAGGGAAGTCCCTGGCAGGTGGATTCTTAACCACTTAACCACTACACCACCAGACAAGTCCTGTGCCAAGTGCTTTGTATGTCTTATTTATTCCTTTCAACAAACCTATGAAGTAAGTACTATTATTAGTCCATTCTGATAGATGGAAAAAGAGAGGCTTACAGAGGTTCAGTCATTTACATGGGTCACAGTGAGAGCAAGCCAAATCTGTCTCCAGAAAAAACGTTCTGACCACTATGTCATACTGTCACAGCTTGGAACTCTCTCCCACACTTATCACATTGTACCTTGTACTAATTACAGTCCTTTGGTACCTGTTGCTTCCACCCCCTACTCCCTCCTGCTCCCCGTTCTTCGGACTCTAGATCGTGTATTATCTATGAATCCAGCATGGGGCCTGTCACAGCTTAGGTACTTAACATGAAGCAAAATGAATTGATACAATATTTTATACAGATTTCATGTTTTATTGGTATAGCATTTTACCACTCTATAATAAAGATGCCTAAATATCTCTGAAAGGATATGCAAGAAACTGGTAACAGCGGTTGCCTCTTGACTGCAGACAAGATGGGGCAAAGGGCATATATATATATATATACACACATACACACACACAAACACACTTGTACCTTTTAAATGTTGTGCTGTACATCTATTGCCTATTCAAACTATATATTTCATTCATTTTTTAAGGATTCTAGAATTTTTCTTGGGTATTATTTACTTAGTAAGATGGTCAAAAGTCATTGGGTAACCTCACGCAAAGAAAAACACTACTTCATAGCTTCTCCATGGCTACAGACTGCAGAGGCCCATAGGGGGCCCATGGGGTGAGAGGAGTCCTCAATGGGTCCCTTACTTATTATTGGACCATTGTTTTCAGGTACAAGGTCCATTAGAGATGGGACAATGAACAGAAAACCACTTACCTCAGATCCAGAAAAAAGAGGTTCAACCTTTGATATGTACCACTCTGCAAATATCCTCTTTGAGCCTATTTCTGCATCCATAGAATGGTGATAATTACTACCTCTCAGGGTTTTTCTGAGGATTAAGTGTGGCATTTTTAGAAGTGTTTTGCAAAGTGGTAAGCACTGTCCAAATAATTGGCACCTCACTTGCCCATGTGCCTTCTCTCCTCTGGGCCTGTGCTCATATTTTCTCTACCTGGAATACGCTTTCCCTTTATTAGGGAAAATCCTAATTATTTAAAGTCTCTAAGCTTCTATTCTTCATCAGTAATACTGATAAAAAAAATAGTAGCTATAAAGAAGAGATAATGTGATGATGAATGTGCACAATACCTGGCCAAAGTAAGTGTTCGATAATAATAATAATTATTATTATCTTAAATTTTACTTATTTATTTTTGGCTGCATTGGGTGGCTTCTCTTGTTGCGGAGCATGGGCTCTGGGTGTGTGGGCTCAGTAGTTGTGGCACATGGGCTTAGTTGCATGTGGGATCCGTGGCATGTGGGATCTTCCCGGACCAGGGCTCGAACCTGTGTCCCCTGCACTGGCAGGTGGATTCTTAACCACTGTGCCACCAGGGAAGTCCTGGAAGTCCTGCGTTCAATAATTATTAACTCTTTAAAAAAATTATTTATTTTATTTTTGGTTGCATTGGGTCTTTGTTGCCGTGCACGGTCTTTCTCTAGTTGTGTTGAGTGGGAGCTACTCTTTGTTGCAGTGCTCAGGCTTCTCATTGCGATGGCTCCTCTTGTTGTGGAGCATGGGTTCTAGGCGCACAGGCCTCAGTAGTTGTGGGACACGGGCTCATTAGTTGTGGCGCATGGGCTTAGTTGCTCCGAGGCATGTGGGATCCTCCCGGACCAGGGATCAAATCTGTGTTCCCTGAGTTGGCAGGCGGATTCTTAACCACTGCCCCACCAGGGAAGTCCCAATAATTATTAACTCTTATTATTCTTACCTTCAAGCCTGGCTGTAATATTACTTTCTCTGCCAAGCTTTAACACCCCCAGGCATATTATTAATATTATTAGTCATTTTTAATTACTCCATCCTCTGAAGTAATTCATACCTTTATTATAGCACGTACTGCTTTTTAAAAAAAATAAATTTATTTATTTATCTTTGGCTGCGTTGGGTCTTCATTGCTGGTGCGGGCTTTCTCTAGTTGCAGTGAGCGGGGGCTACTCTTCGTTGCAATGCGCGGGCTTCTCATTGCGGAGGCTTCTCTTGTTGCGGTGCACGGGCTCTAGGTGTGCAGGCTTCAGTAGTTGTGGCACGCAGGCTCAGTAGTTGTGGCTCACGGGCTTAGTTGCTCCGCGGCATGTGGGATCTTCCCGGACCAGGGCTCGAACCCGTGTCCTCTGCCTTGGCAGGCGGATTCTTAACCACTGTGCCACCGGGGAAGCCCTGCTTTTTATTTTAGTAGTTTGGTTACTCATCTGTCTAGCTACTACATATGACGTCCTCTAGGGCAGTAAGCATGGAGCACCTATCTTGTATCTCCAGGACCTGACATTCAGTGAGTATTGCAGAAATGGTAAACACAATGGAAGTGTTTGGTAGCCAGGTGCCCTTCCCCTGGCCACGGATCTTTAAGATTTCACCTCCTCTTCCTCAGAAATGCCCATTTTCTTTCCAAAGGGCTGGCCAAGCTTGTACAAAGAATCTTCAACTCAAGGTCTAAAGGGCTGCAGCTGCTTGAAGGACCAGCTCACCAACTCCCAAGGGAACTCCAGAAGGCCTCTAAACTGGGAAAGGAAGGACCAGGGAGAGGCTAGCAGAACTTTGTGAATTGGCATTGCTTAGTCCAGTGCTCACTGACTTTTTCAAGGCAACACCTGGCTGCTTTTCCCTGGCAGCTTGGCCGCAGCGCAAGAGTGTGCCTTCTGAAGCCACTCCCATGGCCTCTGGGGATGGATGACACAACCAAGCTGTGTTCCGACAGGAAACTGGATCCAAGCCTCTCTCTCCTCCCCAGCACACTGGACTGCATTGAGCCATCTTTCAGTGCAGCAAAGTTTGGTAGCACCTTGCTCATGGCAACCTGGCAGCACTCTCCCCCAGGACAGAGACCAGCAAGTATCCTGATGTTCAGGTCACTGCTGTGCTTCAACCTTCTAAATAGATACATCGTGAAGATCCTTCTCCTCTTCCCCAAGGTCTTGTGTCCCACTGCTCTCTGGAGCAGTCCTTCCCCTCCAGGGCCTAGCCTTTTGTCTTGGGCTCAGTGCCAGGAATAGATGAAGAGTTCCCATCCAGGTACCAAATTGGGGGCTAAAAGGAAAAATCAGAACCTGGACTGGGTGTTGGAGGCTTCTGATTATAAGTAATAGCTATATTAAAATTTTTAATAATACACGTATGTGTTATCTCATTACATATCTCAATACATCTTTATATTACATATAATTAATACTGTACATGTATATTAAAAAATACTGTACATTACATATATTATCATTATTTGCATATTTACCTGTATTATCTTACTTTGTTGTCACAATCACTATGAATTGTTCTCATCCCCATTTTACAGATGGGGAAATCAAGGCTCAAGAGAGATAATTAACTTCATAGTTAAGAAATGGCAGGGCTGAGATTTGCACTCCCCTCTAACTCCCAAGTTTATGGTCTTTGCCACCTTGCTGAACTCTTAAGGCAGTGGTTACTCAGTGTTTTTTTGGTCATTACCCCTCTCCCAAGAACAGTGCACCTCTGTATGCACTCACAATTATTTTGTGGTAAGCAAAATGGTCCCATCCATGGGCCATAGAGCTTAGATAAAGAATCTCAATGGTAATGGACTAATTGCCTGCTTGCGGGTGGGAGCACATTCTCTCTTTTTTTTCCTAGTATTTCTTTATTTGGCTGCTCCTAGTTGCGGCACCTGGGATCTTTTAATTGCAGCATGCGGGATCTAGTTCCCTGACCAGGGATGGAACCTGGGCCCCCTGCATTGGGAGTGCGGAGTCTTAGCCACTGGACCACCAGGGAAGTCCCGCACATTCTCTCTTGACTCTAGAGTTCCATGGGCCCACCAACCACATTCCCAACCCCGCTGATTTGGATTTGAAAGCCCAGCAATTCCAAAGCTGTTTGGAACGCATGATGAAGGGAAATTCTTACCAGCCCCTTGGGAAAAAAATAAGTTCCTGGAGCTTCACAGGAAGGAAAAGGTAACCATCTTCCCTGGGGGCTGCCCCTTGATTACCACCAAAGGGTAGTGACCTGGCAAGGATGCCAGCCTGACATCCCCAAAGGTTACTGCATTCCATTTGCATAACAGCATTACCAGTTAATCCATTGCTCCCTTGGTGATACCTCAGCTGCCACTTCAACCTCAGTCTGATTCCTTCTCTTTGGCCCTAAGATTCCTGGGCTCTGCTTCAGGTTCTATCACTGGGTTGCTGTGGACAATCTTGAGAGTTACTTTAGGTGAACAGACTAAGAGGACAAGTAGCAGGTTACAGTAGACCAACGGTTCTCAACCGGGAGTGATTTTGCCCCAGAACTAGGAGACATTTGTCAATCTTACATTTGGCAATTGGTTGTCACAACTGGGGGAGGGGAGGTTGCCACTGGCATCTAGTGGGTAGAGACTAGGGATGTTGCTAAACATTATCAGACAATGATTTATCTGGCCGGGAATGTGCCAAGGGTGAGCGATCCTGTGGAAGAAGACCATGATTGTTGAACGTTAGGTGGTCTCGGATTGAAATCGTTGCCCTGCTGTACGACCTTGAGCATGTCACTGAATCTCGGATGAGTCAGCAGTGATTAGAACACAGGTTCTGGAGTTTGAATCCCAGCTTTACTAACCAGCCGTATGACCTTCACAGGATTCCTCACCTCTCTGAATCTCCCTCATGTTCCTTACCTATAGAATGACTTATTTCATAGGGAGGGTGAAGTTATTCATTGCAAATGCTTACCACCATGCCTGACATACAAGTGCTCAAATGTTAGCTCATGTTATTACAACCAACACTAGCCTCCTTGCTTTTCCTCTTCTATAGCACATAGCTTCTGTACCCACGTGTTCAATAATTTATGGCATTGTTCAGTATTGTTTCCACTCTTGATTTTTCAGCATTCCCCAAGACTCCTAGGAGGATGCTTAACACCTAAATAACTGCACGACTATCTTTATTTATTTATTTATTTTTGGCTGCATTGGGTCTTCATTGCTGCGCACGGGCTTTCTCTAGTTGCGGCAAGTGGGGGTTACTCTGTTGTGCGTAGGCTCCCCATTGTGGTGGCTTCTCTTGTTGCAGAGCACAGGCTCTAGGTGCGCGGGCTTCAGTAGTTGCAGCCTGCGGGCTCAGTAGTTGTTGCTCGTGGGCTCTAGAGCGCAGGCTCAGTAGTTGTGGTGCACGGGCTTAGCAGCTCCGTGGCACGTGGAATCTTCTCGGACCAGGGCTTGCACCGGTGTCCCTTGCATTGGCAGGCGGATTCTTAACCACTACGCCAACAGGGAAGTCCCATAACTGTCTTTAAATTGAATCCATTCTTATTGACTCACATTTTTTGGTGTTTTAACTCTACTAGCTGCCCTTCAGCTGGAAGGTGTTAACAATTATTAGGAATTTTATTTTGGTTTCACTAGTTCGGACTTTTGCAATAAGTTGAAGTATCGGGTTTTCAAAAAATGGGCCCCATATTTGAGATAGACCATGCCTACTAGCACCCCTGAGTTCATTCTGTGGATACATCAGCTTAGCTTTCTCTTACCTGGGTTATCAGTCCCACGTCAGGCCAAGTGGGGGGCACCTGCTGGGCACAGACTGAGAGCACAGGATGATACCGTGAGGAGCTCTCTAAGCAATTCATTTGTTGCTTCACTACCCCACACGCCCCAAACACCCTTTTTATCCCTAGCAAAGCTAAGATTGTAAATTCTCCAAGAACACAGACCATGTCCCTCATCTGCTTTATTCAAGAACATTTAGGCACTCTAAGAAAGGAAATGAAACTTACAGGTGGAGCTAAGTGCAGGCAGATGGAGGCCCACCTCCAACTCTAACGTGCTATACAACTTCTTTGGGACGAAGTTTCCCTATCTGTGCCACCTTAATTGTGTGGTCAAAATGAAAATAGATGGCACAGCACAGCAGGTAAAGGTTTAGGCTGGCCCGAGGCTGGGGGGGAGGAAATCTCCAATTCTGCCACTTTCCAGCTCTGTGATGATGGACAAGTTATTTTGCTTCCCTAAGCCTCAGTTCCCTCATTTGCAGAACAGGTATAATAACTGCACTTACAATTCATAGTGTTGCTGAGATAAAAAATGCAAAACACTTGGTAAAGAGCTTGGTGCAAATTAAGCCCCTCAAAAATGTTACATATTATTACAGTAAATTTGAAGGGAAAAAAGCACCAATTATCATTAGACAAATCCGTGTTGCCTCCTGTGGGAGATGTTATTACAGTCACGGCAGTGCTACTTCTCAGCCCTGAGAAGTTCCTAATCACCAATGGTTCCTGACCCAATCCCATTTCCTTGTCCCACCTTTCTATGAAGGTCCTCCCCAAGGGCAAAGGACAGAGGCGCAGGCATATGAGTTTAGAGAAACATTGTGTTTAATGGTAAAGCTTAGCACACTCTAGCACCGGGCATGGCCTGGAGTCGAAGCAGCAGGGGTGGATAGGTGACCTTCATGGAGCCTCACATGGCAAAGAGGATGAGGAAGGCGACCATCAAACAGAAGAGCCCCATAGCCTCAGACAGGGCAAAGCCCAGAATGGCATAGGAGAAGAGCTGCTGCTTCAGAGACGGGTTCCTGCCGGGGACAGAGACAGGGAAAGGAAGGGGTGAGGGTATGGGTCATGGGTGGTGGTGGATGACTCAAGTAGGTTAGGTGAATGGATAGTGCTGAAACTGGGAGAGGGCCTAGCTTGCATATATCCTGGGGGTTGGACAGGCAAGCAGAGTACCAACATGGTAAGTTTAAGTGAGCCAGACTGGAAACTTATATTTAAATTCTGAGAAAACAGGAGGTAGATGAAATCAACACAAAGCTAGAAGGATCTCTTGCTGAGGCTTCCTCCAAATAAGATGGAATTTATAGAAGACGCTCTAGGCCACCCCACAACTTACCTGGCATAGCCAATGATCAAACTGCCAAACACTGTTCCAATGCCGGCCCCTGAACCAGCCACACCAACTGTGGCAGCCCCAGCACCAATAAACTTGGCCGCTGTGTCAATGTCCCGGGAGACAACACTGGTCTGGAACTCCCGCCTGGCCACCTGGAGTGGGACACTGCTGTAGGAAGGCTAGAAGGAGGGGGAGAGAGAGGGAAGTAGAGAAGGAAAGAGCGGAAGAAGGGAGATAGTGAGGCTCAAGGACAGGTGGCTGACTCCACCCCTCACCCCACCCACCTGAGCTCGGAAATTGTTGGCAAGCTCTTAGCAAGTACAGAACGCTCAGACTGCAGAGCATGCTTGGAATTAGTCTTAGGGTCCGTTTCCAGACAGGACTAGGGACATTTCGTGGGGTTCATGATAAACCCAATTTCACTTTTGCAAGTTTCTCACCTACAATGCTCACCTTGAGGTACTTAGAACTATTAAAGCACCACAGACTCTCCTCCCACTTTGGCCTAAAGGCAACTGAACAAACTTAAAGGAACTTAGTCTGGGGAAATTCTTAAGAAGGCCCAATCTCCTTTACCTGTTCAGATGGGATCTCTGGCCTACTCAGGAAGGAGGCAGACACAGGCCTGCTCAGACCCCTGGTACAAGAGCGGATCTATAAAATCAGAAAGACACATTTCTCCAAATCAGGCAAGAAATCAAAACAAAACAAAAAATCCCCCTAACTGCTGAGCTTCAGTCAAAAATGACTACAAATATTATAAATAAAACAAGTCCAAGGTATTTCAAGGTCAATTAATGTGTTACTGCTGCTACCAGATATGCCCACACCAGAGACAGCTGTCCTGAGACCCTGGTGTAGTCATCAGTGGCAACCCTTCCATTTAAAACTGGGTAACAAAGTTCACTTCTATGAGCACAGCCCTTAATCAATATCCCAGAATGGAAAAAAACAAAACCAAAAACCCACACTAACATCAAACCAAGTACAGGAAGGGTTTGTACCCAGACCACCAAAGGAATCAGAAGGGGAAAATCTTATTTTGCTAAAACTGTAGTCACTGTTATACACCCTGAATGGAGTGAGCCAGTAAGCCTGGTGAGGCTCCTGAAACAGTCACCTAAGCAGAGACTCCTGTAACAAGGCTTTCTTGAACTATTTCAAGAAATATAACGTAGCAGTTGTGAAACTTGGTCGAACATTAGAATCACCTGGGGCGTTATAAAAAAAATACAGATGCATGGATTCCACTCCCATAGGGTGCAGCCTGGGCATCAGGAGTTTTAAAAGCTCCCCAGATGATTCCATTGTACAGTCAATGTTGAAAATCACTGTTTCAATGGGCTAACTATGGCCAAGTCAGACTGGGGGTAAAGGTCAGATCCAGACTCTGACCACATTGCAAAGCCAAGATAGCTTGGTTTACAGGCTTAAATAATCAGAGGTTAACTGCATCCATCCTACTGCTTCGCTAAAGGGGCAACATCATCAGAATGCCAAGCTCCTCTCAGTTCATTCATTAAACACTCATGGTTCCCACAGCTGGCGCTACAGAGCACCCGGGAGCCGCAGCTTACCAGAGCAGGAGGAATGAGTAGTGCCCTGGTGGTCTGCATTTTTTCGGTCTGCAGAGGAAAAAAAAAAAAAAAATCCACTGACAGCCTGGTTGTTTGCTTACACTCGCGACCTTCGGTCGTCCCCTTCACCCCGCCCGTCCTCCCTGGACCACGGTCTTCCTCGAACCATGCCCCAGCTGAGAAGGCCATTAGAGGTCAGAGGGACAGCGCAAATACCCTCTCCACCACTTTCAGCGCGACAGGTCTGCAAAGGAAGGTCACGGAGATCGGAAGTAAAGGAAGGAGGCCCGAGCCCCAGCCGGGAAATGATACCCAAAGAGGATGATCTGCCGGGAAGACTGGGGAGGCAGAAACTAGGTAGGTGCCGTTCAGGGTCCTGCCCATTTTACACAGCAGTCCACGGCCCGCCTCAGCCGGGACAGTAAATTGCTCATTACCGTTGGTAACTAACATTAATTGTTAAGGTTACAGACGGCCATTGCCTTTCCCGGCCCTAGGGGCAAATGCCCCACCACACAACCCAGCCACATCCCTGCCGATAGCTGGTTTTCGGCCCCAGGTCACCTGCACTCCCACTGCCCTGCTGCCCCTTCTCGGAACACAGCGCTCGCCCGGCTCAAGGTGACTGACTCACCTCCGGGGTTTAGCTCTAGGACTCAGCGCTCAGCTCCCCGGCCCACGTGTCCGGGGGTACCCCCACTCTCATTGGCCGCAATCCCCCCGCGCCCTCATTGGTTAACATCCTCGAGTCCTCCTTTCTTATTGGTCTTCCGCAGCTTCTTCCTCTCTCTCCACAGGAGCTTCGTGGCAGTTCCCGCCTCCGTGCGGGTAAAGGCGGGGTTTTCCTCCGAGATCTGGCTTCCGATTGGCCGATCCCTGAAGGGCTCGATCACAGAGTCGGCTTGACTCAGAGGTTCTATAACCTCCCGCACAAAATGGCGGCCAAGGTGGAAAGCAGCAGAAAAAGGCGTGGGAGAGATGACCGGTCGCCTTACCCAGAGAGACACATGACCTTGGACCTTAGCCTTCATTCGAGCGCTCGGGCCCTGAGGCGCGTTGCATGTTGGGATTTGTAGTCGGGTCAGAGGCCCTAAGGGCGGCTGAGATCCCGCGAGACGTTTCTCCCCTGGCTGGGAGAGCCAATGCCTTTGCAGCAACTCCCGCCCTAGTGTTTTGTGGGAGTCTTGCTTCCGCCAAGAGGCGTAAAGGCTACCTGCCTCCATGTAAGTTCCCTAATGGGTGAGCGCAACTTTGTGGGCCTCTGCCAGTGTTGAGCAGTCATGAGCTAGCAACCAGTAGTTTGTTTGCTTGTTTTTTTAAAGTATTTTTGTATTGTTAAAAACAACATTCCAAGGACAAAACGCGTAACACCCTGATAAACAAGCAAAGGATGGGAAACAGGCAGAAGAAATATAAATTGAAGGGAAGAATCTTAAACTAAACTATAAAAAGAAATAGAAGTTTAAACGCAACTTTTCTCACTAAATCAAAAAGCAGAGTTCTTTTTACTAATGTGAGCCAGGCACTTCTGTACTGCTGGTGAGAAGTATGAATTAGAACTTTTCTTGAAAGTGATTTGGTAATGTTTGTTGAAAGGTTTTGAATGGTCCACCCTCTTTGACTCAGAAATTCTCGAGGAATTGAGAGCCTTTAAACTCTCTATCCTCTTTGACCCAGGAATATCACTCATAGAAATCGGTCTTGAAGAAAAAAATCAGAAATGCAAAGATTCCCTTCAAAGGATGTACATTGCAGAATTTGTTGAAATTGGAAACAAGTAAATGGTAAACGTTAAGCAAATTGTGATATTTTCACTTGATGAAATAAGCAGACACTGTAAATTTCCTTCCTTCCTCCCCTTCTTTTTTTTTTTCAGCTTAAGTAATAAAAATTTATTAATTCCTGGGATGGTGGTTGTGGCTTCCCAACCTCAAGAGAGGAACAACCAACACTAGGAAATCATTGAGAAATCACACAGTCCCAACACCCCTGGCCAACATAGGGAGGAAAGTCATTCCCCTGAAAATGGGTCAGTTCTCATTATTCCAAGAAGTGTTGGGAGGACAGATGCTGAGGGGACCATCACATGTTGCTGGGGGCAGGGTGGGCGTGTGCTGGACCCCGAACTGGCTCCTGAAAAACCAGGGGAGAAACAGATCCACTTCTTCTCTGGGGGCCGAGTTCTGGGTCACCAGGCTCATTTCTTACCCTTGATGAGGTTGTCACTTCCCTGGGTGTAGGGAAGTGACCTACACTTCATGTTGTAGGTTCAGCACAAGGCTGTCAGCAATGAGATAGATACGATTCTGTGATGTGGCGATTGTCTTGGAGATGTTCTGTGCTGCCCAGATCTTGTGCAGTTTTGATGTAGCCTGGGTTCCTGCTCAGTGCTTCTCTGAGGTGAGCACGGTGGGTTCAACAAGACCAAGTCTCAATCCCTGACCCCCACCCTTACTACCCCCCTCTCCCCAGCCATCCTCTGGGCTCTCAGATCCAAGGTTGCATTAAGGTGGCTCGTGCTTAGCCCTACTTTGGTCCCTACCTGTGAACCCTCCCTGTGGGCAGCTGCCAGGAACAGGAGGCAGCATCAGAAATTGAGGCAAGGCCTGTAAAACCATGTTTCTGGTTTTATGTTTTATACTGAGAAAATTTTCATGATGTAAGACAAATTTTGAAGATTTAAATGCAGAGCTGTATGGCATTGTGAAAAAAATGGAAAAAAGATTTAAAAAATAAAACAATAGTTAATTCAGTATGGTATAATAAGGTTGATTTATATTTTTATGAGTATGTATTAGTTTTTTTTTTTTTTGGTTGTGTTGGGTCTTCGTTGCTGGGCAGGCAGGCTTTCTCTAGTTGCAGTGAGTGGGGGCTACTCTTTGTTGCAGTGCACAGGCTTCTCATTGTGGTGGCTTGGCTTCTCGTTGCAGAGCACAGGCTCTAGGTGTGTGAGTGTCAGTAGTTGCAGCACGTGGGCTCAGTAGTTGTGGCTCGCGGGCTCTAGAGCACAGGCTCAGTAGTTGTGGCACACTGGCTTAGTTGCTCAGTGGCATGTGGGGTCTTCCAAACCAGGAACCAAACCTATGTCCCCTGCATTGGCAGGCGGATTCCTTTTTTTTTTTTTTTAATCTGACTTCAGCCAGATGTACTTTTATTTATTTAAAAAATTTTTTAAAAATTAATTACTTTATTTTTGATTGTATTGGGTCTTTATTGCTGCACGCAGGCTTTCTCTAGTTGTGGTGAGCAGGGGCTACTCTTTGTTGTGGTGCACAGGCTTCTCATTGTGGTGGCTTGGCTTGTTGCGGAGCATGGGTTCTAGGCGTGCGGGATTCAGTAGTTGTGGCTCACAGGCTCTAGAGCGCAGGCTCAGTAGTTGTGGTGCATGGGCTTAGTTGCTCTGTGGCATGTAGGATCTTCCCGGACCAGGGCTCGAACCCGTGTCCCCTGCATTGGCAGGCGGTTTCTTAACCACTGCGCCACCAGGGAAGTCCCTGTATAAGATTTATAATAGCAATATATTAACAATTATGCTAATCTGGAAAGTCTGAACTTTGGACTCTTAGAAAAAATATTTTAAGATTGAGATTTAAGGTATCCTGCAAGAATGGTACAATGGAAAGAATGTGGAGTTTTGAAATCACACAGACTTGAGTTCCTATCATGGCTCTATCATATAACTAGGTATGTCTGTCTCCGAGCAGATTACCACATCTCTTTTGGCTTTAGTGTAGTAAGCTACCATTTACCATACGGCAAGCATTGGATTAGGTGGATTCACCTGTTATATGATTTAAGCTTGACAACAGCCTTTTTTTTTTTTTTTTTTTTTTTGCGGTACGCGGGCCTCTCACTGTTGTGGCTTCTCCCGTTGCGCAGCACGGGCTCGGGACGCGCAGGCTCAGCGGCCATGGCTCACGGACCCAGCCGCTCCGCGGCATGTGGGATTTTCCCGGACAGGGGCACGAACCCGTGTCCCCTGCATCGTCAGGCGGAGTCTCAACCACTGCGCCACCAGGGAAGCCCGACAACAGCCTTTTAAGTGGATATTATTATCCCTATTTTAGAGATTACCCCCATGTTACAGAGCATCTTTTTTCCAGTTTGGAATACTTGGTAAGAGGTAAAGTCAGTATGTGGACCCAGGTCGGTCTGGGTCCAAAGTGCTTAACTATCAGCTCTTGAGTCTCCCTAAAACTGGGGAAGCTGTAAAACAGGGTTAATACTACTTACCTTATAGAAATATGAGGTAAAATAAATGCCAGGCCTAGGTTGGTGTTTGGTGAATAGTCCCTGGCTGTTACTACTCTAGGACAAGTTATATTTTCGTGTGGAAATCCCTAACTTTGTCTACGTGTTTTAATTTTTTTTTCATATCCAGATTTGTCACATAGCTCTACTCATAGCTTAACTTCAACATTGCCAAGTTTATCCTGTGACCTGCTGGAAATCAGGTATTTCAGTGCCATGTTTAGGACATGAATTTTGGAGTTAAATAAGCAGGATTCAAATCCTGGCAATGCCACTTACTGCTGTGTGATTTGGGGCAAGGCTCTTAACCTCTCTAGTGCTCTGTCATCATCTATAAAAAGGAGATACCCCTTTTTCAACAGAATTGTTATGAGTAAATGAGATAGTACATGTAGAGGTGCTCCTTTAATTATTGAAGTAAAAAGTACTGGTAAACCAGGAGAGGCTGTGGGAAGTGGAAGGAGGTTAGGAAACCTCAAACCCAGACCTGACATCTTGGGGGTTGTACTAGCTGGCTTGGAGGAGGCCCAAAAACTTCTGTGGGAACTCTGAGAGGATTCCTGAGTAGGCAAAAAAGCTTTTTTCTTATGGTTATAAAATGATTTATTAGAGATATATTTTCTTATTGAGGTATAGTTGACTTATAATGTTGTGTTAGTTTCAGGTGTACAGCACAGTGATTTGGAGATATATATATATATATATATATATTTGTTCTTTTTCAATTTGTTCTTTTTCTTGTTCTTTCTCCTATAGATTATTACAAAATATTGGGTATAGTTCCCTGTGCTATACAGTAGGTCCTTGTTGGTTATCTATTTTGGTGTGTATATGTTAATCCCAAACTCCTAGTTTATCCCTCCTCCCTACTTTACCCTTTGGTAACCATAAGTTTGTTTTCTATCTGTGGGTCTCTTTATGATTTGTAAATAAGTTCATTTGTATGGCAAAAAAGCTTTTGATGAAGGTGGCAAAGGGCAAACTTGTGGATAACAATACCAGCAGGTCCCTCTTTCCAAAGGCATTTCTGACTCCTCAAATCTGCCTCTTCCACCCAGAGTCTTATCTCAGATCGTCTCGCTTTTCCTCTTCCTTTTCACTCTTCCTTTAGGAATTCAGTTTCATTCTTCCTTTAGGAATTCAGTTCAACAAACATTTTTGATCACTTGACAGCTCCAAGCAGTGCACTTGGTTCTGGGGGAACACAGATGAATAGAACCAGTTTCCACACTAAGGAAACTCAGTTAACAAGAAAATAA